ATTTATCTTACCTTACGAAAAATATTTATGATTTCGGCATTTAGATTAATGTCGCTAAATAGGAGTCTGGGTAAAGTAATAATATGACGATTCGTAGAAATTAAATCAATATCATGGTAAATATCCTACGCATAAACAGCGGAAACCCCAATGTTTTGGTTGCTAATGGTATTCAGTTCTGAACAAATTGTTAAAGTTTGTCGACCAGTTCAATATTGAATACGAGTTAAGAGCTGTATTGAAATTCTTTGTTAGATAATAAATAGCATGTATGAATCATGGAAACATGGAATAACCGTTTCAAAAAAGAGAATCATTAATTTCATAATTTATTACCTTTATTTTAGTAAAAATTAAGCAAGTGGTTCATTAAAGATATAAGATTTTTTATTCTCTATTAGACAAAAAATTAAAGTAAATATGTTCGTTAGAATTAAAAGGACGGAACTTTGTTTTACAGTAGATCAAAATTTAGTGCTCTTTATTTGTACACCATAATATAAAATGCCTTTAAAATCATCAAATGATGTTGCAGCTTTATGTTTTGAAACTGGTAAAGTATGCTTTGCATTTTATTTTTTAGTAACAAAATCGGTGTTAAGTTGTTTCGTATAGAAATAATAAATAATTTAGGACTACAACCTTTTTTGTTTTGTGGTACTATATTAATAAAAACAGGACAACTGCCCTTTTGGTATGAGTCAATTAGGAAAAAAACCTTAAAAACAGAACTTAACATTATAAAAATAATATAAAACTTAAATTAAAAAGCAGTTAATCATCTTCGGAACATGAAGGATTGTCTTCGTTAACGACAACTTTATTTTTTGTTGTGTTTAAAGATTTATAGAAGGAATGGTAAACATAAGGTATCCATTCTAGCAATTCCATTAGTTGTTTATATTTTAAACTGTGGACGGTAGAATTAAATGTCCATAACTGTTTTAAATAAACGACTTTCCATTAGTTAACATAGGTGTGAGGAGGCATTTTTGCAAATCTATCATTTCTACGACTTCTTTTAAATTCTGCTTTTTAACTTGTATCTGTTTTCTGCGTCATTCAAACGATCTGTCCTTTTTTTTTAATATCTTTAATTTCATTAGGATCTGCCTTTTTTCGTTTATTTTCAAAACTGTCTTAGGTATCAATGTTAGGGGGCTTAAAATGAAGGTTAAACTCGGTAGAAAAAAATTCTCAGTACCTACATACTTTTCTTTACGGCAAGCTCTTTTGCATACTCCTTCTTATTAATCCACTTAAATATAATTTGTACATTATTGTTACGTTCATTTCTGGATTTAAATGTTCCCTTGCAGACCTATTGCGATAATAATGACTTTCAATTTTTGGAAAACAATTTGTGTGTTCCATGAAAAATTGTTTTGCCTCTTCTGGAATTTGGTGGTTAGGTACATGGTGACTGATTACCAACCCAGCCGCATCATTAATTTTCTTTTTTATTGAATTTCTGACTATTTTCTCAGGGATGGCAAGCATAAAAAAATTACTTTCAAGATGGCAAGTGTAAGAATGCTGTCTTCGGTCCATTTGATTGCTATTTCTTAGACGTGTTCTACTAACAGTAGCCACATCAACTGCTTGTGCAACAATTGTCTTCTAATTGACTACTAGTCCCAGTATATCTGGGAAGGATATTATCGCATACCTCGATTTACTGAGAAAACGCCCTTTTAATTCTAACGAACAGAAATATAATTCAAAAGTATGGAATGGTCTTCAAAAACTTTACGTTCTGAGGCTTTTAGTATTTTATTATAGTCCTCTTTGATATTATAATTTGATTAAATTCCCTTTTGACGACATAGTTTTGAAGACGTATGTCCAACTTATTTTCTTGGTACTCTTTATAGCTTTCTCTTCTCCTTTAGTGTTTTTTGAACTTCGTTTGACCACTACCAGATATATTCTCAAACTTCTTTTCTAAGCTTTTCCAGGTGTTTCAATAGCGTTATATCTAATCATTGCCTTTCATAAACCTTTCTTTCATGTCCCAGCTCATTTTATCCTAAATTTTGGTCCTGAATAGACCTTCTTTCTCATATTTTAATATTCACTATTTGATTTGTTGTGGTCGTCTCTGATATTTTGGTTTATTTTCGCTTTTTTACTTCGATGTCCAGCACAAGCAACTTATGTTGTTGGCTCACAAATCTCTCTAAATATTACTTTGCAGTCCTTACATTCAGGTATATATTTTTCTTATCCTTAAATGATTTATTTTAGAATAATTTTGTCCATTTTTGTATGTGATATGTTAATTTTCTCTCTTTTATAGCAAAATATTAACAATCGCCAATGCTGTTGCTGATTGCAAAAGTTCCAAAACCTCGTCCTCTATGTATTGCTTTATAAACTCTCATGGATTGTCACACATCTGCATACAAATGACTCTCCTCTAGTAAAATACATCTAATTATGTTACTTAATTGAACATAGAAAGCTTTTCTTTAATTTTTAGCCAAACCGAATGGAGCAACATACCTTCACACAACATTGAACACTTCTTTATCAAGTACTTAGATTTAGAGAACTGACGTAATCCTATGACGCGTTTTACAACTTCTACTTTTGCTCTCTTTTATTTCTCTATCAATAGTCATTTCAGAAAACTTCATCCCTAGAGTTCCTCCTACTGAGATTAAATTTGAACTCTGATTTACAATTTGGTGTCCGTTATTAAGATTATTGAGATATTTATATATCAAGAATATATTCAAGAGCTATTTAAAGACGAAAGGACAGAGAGTACTAAAGCAGGAAAAGTTCTATAACGGCACAGACATAACAGAAGATTGGGTACTAGAGGCGATAAAGCGAACAAAGAGTAACAAGGCAACAGGTCCTGACGAAATACCTCTAGACATAATAAGGTTAATAGAAGAACAGCAAATTGGAATATTGGTCGACTTATTCAATACAATATACAGTACAGGAATTATTCCTAGAGATTGGTCAACATTTATAACACTACCAAAAAAATCAAATGCAAAAGAATGCCAAGACCACCGGATAATAAGTTTATTGAGTCATACTCTCAAAATATTTTTAAAAATTATACACCGGAGAATACACAACAAACTTGAGCAGGACATAAGTGACACACAATTTGGATTTAGAAATGCACTGGGAACGAGGGAAGCCCTGTTCGCTGTGAATGTACTTGTGCAAAGGTGCATGGATGTTAATCAGCCAGTATATATGTGTTTCTTGGATTACAACAAAGCCTTCGATAAGGTCAGACATAACCGTCTTATCGAATTACTTAAAAAGAAAAACTTAGATATGAGAGACATCAGGATCATTAGCGCTATCTATTATAATCAGATCGCTGTGGTAAAAGAGAATGACATCTTTTCAAATAAAATACAGATTGAGAGGGGCGTCAGGCAGGGCTGTGTCCTGTCTCCTACTTTGTTTAATTTGTATTCAGAGGAAATATTCCAGGAAGCACTAGAAGAACTAACTATGGGAATAAAAGTAAATGGCCGACCAATCTATAATATACGGTTTGCCGACGACACTATTTTATTAGCGGAATGTCTTGAGGATTTACAACAAATGGTTGACAGAGTGGTAGAAGTCAGTGAAGAAAACGGACTGTCCCTAAACACAAAAAATACACAATTTATGGTAACTACAAAAGCCCAACAGTGCCAAGAAAACATAACAATACATGGGGAGCAAATTAAAAAAGTTCAAAAATATAAATATTTGGGTAAAATAATTAATAAAAATAATGAGTACACAGAAAAGATTAAGGCAAGAATAGGACAGGCAAGAAATTCTTTCAACAAACTGAAAAAATTTTCTGCAGCAGGGACATTTCAATTTCTTTAAAGATAAGACTTCTGAGATGCTACGTGTTCTCCGTATTATTTTATGGATTGGAGGCTTGGGCTGTAAAGAAAGATGTTTTGGACACATTGGAAGCCTTCGCGTGATGGGCCTACAGATGGATATTAAGAATAAGTTCAGTAGATAGAGTCACGAATGTCGAGGTATTGAGAAGAATGAGAAAAGATAAAGAGGTCTTAAATACAGTTAAAGTCAGAGAACTGCAATATCTGGGACATGTTGTGAGGGGTGAGCGTTATAACTTGTTGCAATTAATAATGCAAGTAAGAATACACGGTAGATGGAGTCGCGGAAGAAGACGCATCTCCTGGTTGAATAATTTGAAAGCTTGGTTTACTGCACTTATGCTGACCTCTTTAGAGCAGCGGCGCCGAAAGTTCGAATTGCAATGATGGTTGCCAACCTTCTTAGAGGAGATGGCACGTGAAGAAGAAGAATTACTGACTCCAAGCTGTCTGGCCACTTTTTGACTTGACTCATTTCATTATCTATAAAAGTAAAAATTTGAACAGATCTAGCAAATCTCTCAGCCATAGTTTTAAATTTAAAAATAGCATAAGGTCATCTTTGATCAACTGTACACTAATAAAAGATTTTTAAAAATCAGAACAGCCATATTCCAAGAAAAACAACGTACAAACAATTGCCTTCTCCGAAGTCCTTAAACAGCTATCAATTTTGCGAACTTATTGCCCTTAATTGACCTATCGGCAACCAGTGGCGGTGCCTTAGAGTGTTTCTGCATTGTGGAGTTTATTTACAATAGAATAAATTGCATAAACTTGAAATTATTGAAAAACTCTTATAAAATTGTAGGTGGCATCTTTTTAATGACGCGCATTGTATATACATACATAGTTTAAAAATGTTTGTAACTTTTTTGTATTATAAAATTACTTCAAGAAGACAAACATATATTTTGAACCTTTTTGTATTTGTATATTTAGGTATTTGTTAAATTTTTATACGCGTAGAATAATTAAATAATTAAACAATATTATAATAAAAATTCATTTGGACAACTATAGTGAACCGATGATTCTGATAAAACCACAACGGTGCCACCATGCCCGTGTGAAAGTGGGAGTACCAGCGAGCAGCGAGTAGTAGTAGTACGAAACTTCACAAAGTCAATTGACTTATTTATCAGTTAGTGCTTACCCACAATATTAACGTGCAAGGATTTAACCGGTCTCTCACATTTTCAAAATGTTGACAATAGACGACGATTTTCATCAATTAAAACTTCCTCCAAAAATTAGCGACGACTTCAATAGTCTTGAATTGAACATTACGAATATTCTCCTGCAATCATCAGAAACTGAAGGGGGAAAACTAAATGTTGCTGATCCTGAATATGAACAGTTTTTGGCTGATGTTTGGGTCGGAATCGTATTGACACTCATGGTGCTTAGTTGTGTATGTTTTATGTGTTCTTGTTTGATTTATCACAAGTTTCAGCAGTGGAAAACACGAGGTAAGTTTTAAAAAGATCTAAATACCGTATACGATGTTTATAACAAACCATTTTTAATTTACATTTACTCTTAGTGCATTGTTTTGATGATATTTATGGTATTTACCTGGATGGGACAATACTTTATTTTTCTGGCCACATATTCCCTGTATTTTCTTAGATTACCCATGATATATCAGATCTCTGTTGAATATGTTAGAAAGTATCGTATATGTTCCATCTTGTTTCATTTTAGATAAAATAATAATTGTTAATGATTCTTTTAGTAGTTCATGCTTAGTGTTTTAAGTTTTTCCATATATTATACTTGAATTTGTTAACGCTCTTATATTGCCGGTTTTATATGTTGTTCCAACGTTAAAATTAACATTTTTGTATTACAGGAAGGTTAACATTTCTAAAAGGTTACTGTACCAGATTTTTAATCCATTTTACTTACAATTTGTTATCTTTTTTAACAATAACTAAATTTCATGACAATTATAGAAAGATGACATGCAGGAATATACCGAGAGGCTTCCTTTATTAGTATAATTAATTACAAACAAGTTAATATTGTATGAGTTTAACGAATTCTATTTAAATTTATGTATTAAGTTTGATACTTGAGGGGTATAATTTCAAAGTGTACAATCTCCATGTTTCCTAAATTTTCAGAAATCGAAAAAACGGATAACCTATTTCGTATGAACAATTCAACTAATTTTTCTTTTCTATTACATTTATATGACAACTACGAGTTAATATAAAAATTTTTTCTTTAAACTATTCAAAAATAACTAAGTAATTCTAGAAAAATATTTGGACATTGTACATTATGAAAATAACTAATGGAGTTTGTCCACATTGAAAATAACTTACGAACGTCATTTATTAAACTTATTTATTTTATTAAGATAATACACATTTAACTATTCAAAAATAGTTAATTAAATGGAAAATCGATTATCTTCTTCGACGTTCTCACACAACGTTTCATCGTCGACAGTTCCATTTTCTGGTGCTGCATTGTCTTCTCGATTGTCTTCGATGTTGATGAATTTGTAAAAACTTAAACGGGAATCACTTTTCCAGTCCTCTCCAAAATGACAACATAATAAATTATTAACATCAACCTTTTTGTTATTATTGACCACGACATTCTGTTTCGGAATATTGGCAGGTTTCATTCTTTCAATGTTGTTAGTTTTTTTTGTTATAGATTTTCCCACACCAAAATCCGTCTTATAAGCTAACTCACCGCGGACTAACACTGTGCCTTGAGAGCTTTTAGTTAAAATAATCCTCTTCCATTGTCCTGGAGCCTTAATGTGTTCAAAGTACTATACTTTGAAAACATCTAAAGATATTCATGTGGTTTTAAAATTATCTCCTTTTTTTTAATATCCTTTTCGATATTCCCAAAACCCGGTCAGGAGGCATGAAATAATGTCCTCTCACTGGGAATATTACTTCAATTTTTCTAATTTTATCTTGTCTAGAAAACCAATAACAACACATAGATATGAGTGTCGTGTTTTTGTTTTGGCCTCTGCATCCATCACACATGAGCCTAATAGTATGAATATCGTCTCCAAAATTAGCCGATTCAAGAATGTAATAAATGCAGGAGGCAACCTCGTTCGAACTCTTCTTGTACTCGTTTTCGGTCCAACAGAAAGAAGTGACATTAGATGGATTTAAATTACTTTTGGAAGTTCCTCTGACAACGGTAAAATTGTACATATAAAATTGACGTAAATAATACGCTTGTGGATCCGGAATCTTAGGCAAAATGTAATTTTTCTGACAGTCAAAAGAAAACGTTTCTACACCTTCATCCCGTTCTTTTAAAAGGGTGTAAAATGCTTTGGACCTCAACGTATGTACCCTTTTTTGGATGATTAAGTTGGCTTTCATGTCGTTATCATGCCACGCTCTATTTTCTCAGCCAATTGTAAGCATGTCGAACATGTATCGGTTCTAGGAGAACCAAAACCAAGGTTATATTGTGTATTAAAAATTTTCCTGAAATAGCTTTCTTTTACTGGAAGGTTTTCATTTTCTTTTAAGTACATTTTCCACATCGACTTTATATTCAAAGAAGAATCCAGATATAACCGTTGGCTTTTTCCCCAGCAATAATGAGATTCACTTTGTATAGATGTAGATGTACTTTTTCAGCTTTCTATCACCACCTCGATTGTCCATTGTAGGAAGGGAAATTCTATAGAAATTTTTTGTAACTGTATCAATTCGTGTCCTTGTTATACCCAAAACTTCCATGAAAGCTTTCTTACACACAGCCAACATTCTGTTTTCGTTTTGGGCGTTTACGCTGTATTGGAACTGTTTTGCAATATTTCAACAGAAAATTATCTTGAAATGTTTTCTCCTTCGTCCATAAAATTTAGTGTGGAAACGTATTATTTCGTTCATTTGTGGTAACGTACCTTGAAAAGCACCACTTTTGTGTCCACATTTCGGATAAATTGGGAGTGAATGTGGACTATACCTAAAATAAAATCCATGTTTATACAAAGATATACAAAATCCTTTGATGCAATTTACCTCATTTTTTTTTGCTGAATTCTTTTCCTTTTTTCCTTTTTCTATGTGGTAATACGTTGTATTTTTCGTGCTTTATTACTAGCTACAGGAGTAACATTTACCTCCATTACACGATTTATTATTTTAAGAATTCGAAAAAATATGATACTACTTTAATAAACAAACTGTACTGCTTCACAAATCACATGCAGCTAACACTACTAACATATTATAATATAAAAACACAACGTTTTTAGCGCGAGATTTGTTGACAAGCCGAACAGGATATTACAAGCTTTGAAATATTCGCCACTATAAAGAAGAACACCCCATTGTAGATTGTACTCTTTGATTTTAAATATTGGATAGGAGATTGTACAGTTTGAAAATTAAATGTCATTGGGGATTGTACGTTTTGAATTAAAGTCTAATTTTCTGCCCTCAAAATTTATTGGAGAATGACTATTTTGAAAAGAGTGTTTTTATTTTTTCGATTCAGGACTAGAAACTCAACGTAATGCGACATCTAACTCATTTTTTCTGAAATATGGAGATTGTAAACTTTGAAACTATAACCCTCATTTTCTGCTATATCATTTTAAACGTACAATGGAGCATTGGTTAAAATACGGAGATATTTGTTCTGGAATCTTTGTAGGATTTTCAAGTTTAAGCTAGCAGATCCCCACAATTAAATTCCATATAGGCGTATTGGTTTGACTATTAATTAATGCTTAATTTGTAGGTTCCTTGAGGCTGAACTAAACTTAAAAAGTTGATGGAATTGCTAAGGCAACTTATTTTGTTTATAACAAATTTAAGCTTACAATTTTTTTTATTTCCAATTAACGTATTTCGATATTTTTGGTCATTGACATGGGAGCAAAGGTTTATAATAGTACCTACAGAGTTTACAATAGTGTAGTGCTTAAGAGGTATATTAGACTCTTGAGTTAGCTTAAACAGTTAAGAAGTTCTTTTAAACTGTGAGTTATATTGTTGGCAATGCCACTGACCTGGTAGTGTTGACATTCTGTGAGGATGTGCTTTACGTTGATATGAATATCGTTGCAGTAGGAGCATGACTGTTGAGGACATTAGATGACCGTGTGCCAAACGGGTGTATACTATCCTTGATCTTCGTATTACTATCTTCTCTTTTCTGTTCAGGGATGCTAGGATTAAATAGCTGTTAACATTAGGTTGTATTTCTCTGAGCTTTGTATCTTTAGTGATCCAATATTCCTGCCAGTTGCCGTTGATATTCCTTTTGAGTTTTAGCTGTATGTTGTAAATGGTCAAGTTAAATGTAGATACTGTTTTTGCAGCGTTGTCAGCCATCTCATTTCCTTGGATGCCCATAATATTGTTATTGAAGTCTCTCGGGAAGTGTACAGAAGGGTCTATTCTAGTATTTTTTTCACTAGGTGATGTTGATTGAAAATATTTTCTAACGAATGAATTGCGGATAAAAAATCGGTGCACAAAGCTACACTTTGATGATTGTTAAAAAGGGAACTCGAGAGCTTTTGAAATACTGAAGAGTTCTCCTGAAACCATGCTACATTCGTTGGATTTTCGATATTGTTATAATACTGTACCAACTGTAGTGACAGAACAGCCAACTCCGTCTCTTTTGCAGTAAGGAATACACGACCTTACTCAAATAATAGTCGTTGAGAGTATCGTATAATTTTCGGAGCAATGTGTGTTACTGTGTTATAGACTGCTGTTAAATCTACGAAATCAGCCCCTGTTACAAGTCCTTCTCAAAGCCCTCTTTAATGTGTTCTGTTAGTGCGAGGACTTGGCCGGTGCAAGATTTGCCGGGTCTGAATCCTTCTTATTGTAGGATAAGGTGCTTGTCGACATTTTTTTCTATTCTGGCGAGTATGAGTCTCTCGTATAGTTTGAAAAAGTGACACAACAGCAAAATAGGCCTGTAGCTACTTCGATTTTCTGGGTCCCTTTCTGGTTTTAATAAAGTTACTACTTTAGATTTCCTTTATAATATAATCCTTTATAATTTCGCAGGCTTTGCAGCACGTTTTATAAAATTGCAATATCCAGTTTTTTGCTTCTTGGCCTAGATGCTTTATATGTTCACTGCATATATCATCCACACCTACAGCTTTCCCGTTTTTTAAGCTGTTCATACCGTCGTGGAATTCTTTTAGTGTAAAAGTAGTTTCTAGGTGGTTTGCCTCCGAATTCCTTTTTTTTTAGTGTTTGTGACCTTATATCGGTTCGTAGTTCTTCCATTCATAAGGAGTTGAGCACCGACTTGGTTTGCACTAAGAATACCACTAAAGGAAAAGTACGTTTATATCGCGACGCATTTGAGCCAGTACATATTTTTGAACTTTTAGTGGGAAATATTTATCCGTAGGGGACCAAAAGGGTTAATATTATTAAGAAATTTATCTACGAAGAAGAGATTTTTTAGTCTGCATTCAGAATTATTAAAAAAT